ATGAAATGACTCCAACTTTTGCTAGTAGGTGGACATGCCCATGATAGAAATCCATGCCATGATTGAAGAAAATAAGTATTTAAAATCATAACTCCGATGAGTATTTAAAACTGTTATTTAAGTTGTTGTTGTTTTAACACGATATAAACGCAAACGTTCATACATACATGCATACACTCACCCCTATGAGCGCACATACGCATGCCTTACCCCTATGAGCATCTTCGAGAGGCTGAGCCCACATATCATCTTGAGATTTACGAAGTCACCGTAGGCACCTCGTCATCGACAGAAACATCTCCTTTCACTGAAAGGGCATCCATGGAAATCCTAAAATAAATCTGGAAATAATGCAAGCACCAGGACTTGAACCCTGATGAACTGGGGATACCGCTGTCCCTTTAAGTATCCAATCACAGGTTGATTCGCCTGTTATTTAAGTTGTTAACATAACTAATAAATACAAAAGGATGAGTATATTTTTCGTCCCTCAATTCTTTCGAAAGTTTAGAAATGGTCCTTCAACTTTAAAACCAGCAAAACTTAGTCTCTTAACTTGTCAAACCGGATAACTTTAGCCCCTTATACCGCTTTGGGTGGTTTTCGTTCGACGTGGACATGATTTTAAGCAAATCTTGACACGTCACCTAGGTTTGGCCGCCACATGATCACCGTCCACGCACTTAAGCGACCCCACAGACTTGCCCATCGCCGAGTGCATCGAGAACGTGCTCCACCATATTGTCGCTACGTCAGTCATATCCTGGAGCGGTGACCATGCTCCTAGCTGCAAGGTGACGTTGTGTCCAGGGCACCTGTTTGCAGCAGTGCGTCGAATGTGTAGCCTAAGGTGCCATGGCGATTGCTTGTAGCTGCTCCTGCACCATAGTTCATCGGTTTACAAAAGATGAGGCAACGACCTGAGCCGTGTGGACTAGCCCCCGGCTCAAGGCAACAGTGTGGAGAATTTTGGCAGCAGCAATGCGGGAGGAAAGAGGAGAAAAAGGATTTGAATAGTTTGTTGGGTCAGTTTTGTGACGGCCACAAGAACGATGCTATGCGCATGCTGCACCACTTGATGCACCTAGGCTGCCTGGTGTTCGGCAAGGCGCGACACCTGATGCCTCCATGGCAAGGACGGCGATGGCGCGTGTTGTTCCTGGTGCTAACGTTGGTAGAGTGTTCTGGATAGTGACCAGCACGACAAGGGGCTAGTGTGTACATGCACCAATTGTTCCGGCCGCTGGTAATCCACTAGCTAAAACTTGAAGCCGAACAACGTATCAGGCTGGATAGTGGATACCCTGTGCAACTAGCTGATTGCCAGGTTTGACCGCCACGTCACCATCCACATCACATGTCGGCCGAAAACCACCCAAAGCGGTACGAGGGACTAAAGTTATCCGGTTTGACAAGTTAAGAGACTAAGTTTTGCTGGTTTTAAAGTTAAGGGACTATTTCTAAAGTTTTGAAAGAATTGAGGGACGGAAAATATCCCAAAGGATAAATAGTACGTGAATTTTAAAAAAAGAAAAAGAAAGAAAAAAGGAAAAAGAGAAATAAAACATAAGAATAACATGACAAACAAAAACCAAAAAAAAGAAAACCAAACAATGGTACTAAACCACGCACGCGCCACAAGTTACAATCAGGGGGACGTCAATTACTGAATACAGCCATGTCCTAGTGAACCAGCCAACCAGAGCTTTTTGGTTTATTACCACCTCGCGAATTCACTAAAATTGTAGCTGAGGGATGGCTATAAAAGCAGGATAGGGGGAGCTTCGTGCCTAGAAAATTATTTTCATCGGTGTGACTGTGCGAGCATGATTTTACCTTTTCTCAGTTTCTGTTAATTCTGTTTAACAAGTTGGTTTTCGGATGTTAACCCCAAAAATGAATATCAACGGGTTTGCAAATTTCAGAACTAAAGCTGGAACCAAAAAACTGAAATTTTGGTTCAGTTTGGTTTTGCACACCCTGACTATTTGCCCCTTGTGAGGTTACGCCCGCAGGGGCTGCGACTAGGGACGGCCCAGTTCTAGGTTCAACGTGAGGGTCACCCCGCTAGTTTTTTTTCTTCTTCTTTAATTTTCAGTTTCATTTTTCCTTTCTGGGTTTTGATCTTTTTTTCGAAAATTTCCACTCTTCCAGTTTGGTTTCTGCCCTGGTTTCTTTGGTTTTCGTTTAAGGTTTTTTATTTTCATTTTTTAGATTTAGTTTTCCTATGGTTTTTTCTTCCTTTTTTTTAAATTTCGTTTGTGTTTATTTTTTTACTTTTTCTTCTATTTTTGTGTATTTATACAAAGAGTTTACCCGTGTATTCATAAAAATTCCACCGTATATTAAAAAATTATTCAAAGTATTTTAAGAAAGTGTTCATGTTTTTTTTAAAAAATTCACTGTAAAAAAATGTTTAATGTATATTTAAATATTTTCACTGTATATCAAAAAAATGTTTCATGTGTATTTCAATATTGTTCAACGTATATAACAAAAAAATAATATGTATTTAAATATTATTCAACGTATATTATAAAAATATTAAATGTGTATTTAAATATTGTTCAACATATATAAAAAATTCAGTAATTGTTCAAAATTTCAAAATTGTGTACATGTTTATTATTTTTTGTTCACTTTTCAAAAATTGTACATGTTTTAAAAGCTTTTTTGAATTTATAAATTTGTTCATGATTTTGAAACATTATGCACATTTTAAGGAAATTTGTTCACATTTTATTTCAACAAATGTTGAAATTTTTGAGGAAAAAAAATGTATGCGGCGCTATACTTTGTACTTTGACTATAGCGCTGCAACTTAGCTGCCAACAGTTGTTAGCTGCGGAGCTTGAGGTTCGGCGCCTGGGAATGGGCCTTTATTTTTCCTAACATTTAGTTTGGCGCCGCGAATGGGCCATTAGAGCATCTGCATACGGGCACCTTAAACCCGTCTCATATGCCCGAACGGGCCGTCCGGTCATTGTCCTGTCGTAAAATTTTAACCCAGACAGGCGCCTTAAACGGATATTAAACGTCTGGGCTGACCGGCACCCCTCATATCCAATCCTAATATGGGGCACCTGGGCGCGCCGCCACGTCGGACCTGGCCCACACCGGCCCACCTGACCCCACATATATAATCTTCTCATCCGCTCGCCGGACTAAGCCCTAGTCACTTCACTCCACTCCCATCTGCCACCCAAGCTCGTCCCCGGCGTCGTCCGACAATCTCCGGTATGGCGGGCAGTGGATCCGAGTCTTTCACCTCCAGATCCGTCCACCCTGAGCTCATCCCATTCGGCCCCGAACAGGAGATGGTCGTCCGGCTTGCTCTCCGCCGTGCCTGGGAGGAGGCCCGTGCACAACAATGTTCGGACTCCTTCCATCAGGAATCCGTTGCGTCGCCGAAATGGCGCATGGATCCGGCGCTAGGGCAGTCGTTGCTGTCTCACTGGAGGCGGTGCGGTCCGTCTCGCGTCCGAACGCGATGGCGGATGTGCAACCCCTCCGTTGGTGCGCCGAGGCCATGGACGCAGCGTGGGCGTCCCTCGGCGCAAACATGGCACGCCGTGCGCGGCAGTGGGCGCGGGACGCGCGGAAGTGCTCGCCTTAGTGGACGTCGGCGAGGCGGAGTCGCATTCCGCGGCGTCCAGTACGGTGCACTAGTCTGGGTGCCGTAACCGCGTCGCCGTGGATGTCGCCGGCTCGTCCTAGGTCGGATCCATCATTGGTCTGACGTCCACCGGCACCCAACAGGTTCCAGGCTCCGGCGAGTAAGAGTAGGGCATGGGAGACGACGGCGCCTTGAGTCCCGTGAGCCGGCTCATGTCCCATGCCCTACTCTACATTGCCGGCTACCGGACCAACACTCTGAGGGGCGCAACTGGCCGACGTACATGGCCACTGCGGAGCCGGACGAGCGGAGCGCAGCCGGACAAAGCTCCGCTCAAAGATCGTTGCGTTGCATGTAATAATATGGATTTGAGATTTCTAATTTGAGGTATTCAGATGTGGAATACATTTTTGAGGCGTGACCGGGTCACTGTCTGTGGACGTTTGAGGGGTTGAATTTGCCACGTTCGGCTGTAGATGCTCTCACGGCGTATACTTTCCGACATGTGACCCATCGTACATACGAAAGTGGATACGACCTATCAAAGGTCTATATTGTTCTCTATACGTTTATTAGTGAGCTAGGGGGTTATACCGAGGCGGGGCTCGCTCTACTTAGGCCCCTATTTGTTTGAGCTCGTGCTTCAGCTTTTGCTGCTTTTTCACTCTGGATTAAAAACCAAAAAAGGCAGGGAGAAGCGCCGAGGCCAGTCAGACAAAAAATAAATACGTGCATGCATGCGACTTGAGAAGATGGGCCTCGGAAGGCATAACATTTGTTTGTTGGCCCTCGTGTATAAACCTTGATTTGTTTGTGTTACCGAAGAGAATACGAAAAGATGACACCGGTGTGCACGTAGCCACCTCCCGGCTACCCGGGGCAGCTGCCCGGGCTCAGCCATGCATTCTTGTTTGAATAGGAGCAGTAAATGGAGGTCTAGCCAGCGTTTTGTAGGGGCAAAAAACTGGCAGACAGGAACGCCGTGTACTTTGCCCCGCTCGCCGGCCGAGCTGGCTCCGCCACTTGACGTACCCGCATTTCAGAATCAGAAGAAAAAAAGGAAGTGGATAATACACGAGCCTCCGTATCCCCATGAACCTGCCACTCGCAGCGGCCGGCGATCGAGCATAACCATTCCATGCACGGGGACGCATGGCAGGCACGCAATTCCGGCCGGAAGATCGACGATCGCCTCCCATTCCACTTGACACGCCTTCCCTTTCGGCCATCTTTTCAAACTTTCGAAATCCACGCGCCCACGAAGCTGATGAGGACGCCCTTCGGGGCCCACGCCTCAGCCTCTGTGAACCTCACTATTAATACGGCCGGGCGCCCCTTGGAATGGATACGCACCTGCGCACAAGTCATCATCGATCAAGAAGCCATGGCCGGTGGTACCAGGAACAGGAGGCATCCCAAGGCCGCAGGCCACGCCGTCGCCGAAGCTGTTGAAGCCCCCCTCGCCGGCCGCTCACTGGTAGCCGACCCAGATGGGGTTTCACCGGCAGCCAAGGGCACTGAACTGCCGGTGCCGGAGAAGAAGGTTGATGCGGAGGCGGAGGCGAAGAAGCTGAAGGAGCTCAATGCCATGCTCCTCAAGGAGGTCATGCCGCGGCGTGGGCAGGTGGCCACGCTCAGCGCGCGCGTCGAGGAGCTCTCCATCGCCTCGGTGACCGGGGACGAGCTGGACGCGGAGACGCGCGCCTCCGTCGCGCAGGACAAGCCGCTCGAGCAAGCCGATGAGACAGAGGTCGCTCGGGAGGCCGAGGATGTGGCCGCCGCGTCCAAGAAGGTCACCGCCTCTGTCGTCAAACCGGGGGCGGAGAAGAAAGTGGTGAAGAAGAAGAAGGCCCCGGCCTGCTCAGTCCAGGCACGCAACGCGGCGGAGGCAGATCAGAAGATCTCGTTGGCGGCGGCGGATGCGCCGGCTGATGAGCAAGGCGTCATGGCGGGCCCAGTGCCTGGAGGGCGTCCCAGGAGGAACCGGAAGGCTAACTCCATGTATCCTTCGGATACTTGGGCCCGCTAGAGACTGCATGCATGCGATGCATGCGTCTAGCTCCGGTTTTCTTCTTTGAATAAAAACTCGTAGCGAATTCATGTACCGATCTACGCATGCATGCATCGTGCATGCAACTCGGTAAATGTTTTGATTGTGGTACTGGAGCTAGTGATGTTCGATCGTGAATGTCTTCGTGTCTGGTTGCTTCGATGTTATGTTCTTGGTTGCTTCCATGTTTTGCTTATTTAGAAGAAGTAAAAAATATGTTTAGAGCCATGTGAGGAGCTTAAATTAAGGCTCTCTCCTTTTCTGCGCTCGAAGCCGTCCCGCTCGGCCGCCTTGCCAAGATGACCCTAGACTCGTCCATAGTTTTCAGGGGGAAGGTTGGTCCCTCCTTGGAGCAAATTGCGGCTATCCAGGCCCGCGAGATCCTTGACGGGAAACTCGTTGAGACCCGGGCTAGCCTCCTCCGCACCCCGGCACCTCAGCCCTCTGAGATGCCGGTCGAGGAAATCCATGGTCGTACTCGCTCCCGCACTGCTGCTCTTAGAGCCCACAGTGCTTCCACCGTCCCGGGGTCAAGCAGCCCCTCAATGGCGGTTTAGATGCGTGCCCTCTTCTGGAACATCCGCGGCTTCGGCCATGACGGTCGCCGCCGCCAGCTAGTTGAGTACATCCGGGACGAGCACATCGACATCATTGCCATCCAAGAAACCATGCACATGGATTTCTGTCTCCCCGAGCTTGACAGCCTTAGCTCCCACCTGTTCGCCTGGCATTGGCTCCCTTCTAGTGGAAACAATGGCCACTCCGGCGGCATCCTCTTAGGTGTTAAGGATGCCACTTTTGAGGTGGGAGGTATGGATCGGGGTGAGTTCTTCGTTAGTATGGAGATCTTCGAGCGTACGCTCAACTTTAAATGGGAGGTCATCATCGTCTACGGACCGGCGGACCACAGCCGCTTCCCGACCTTCCTCGCCGAGCTGCAGCAGAAGATCTCCGCTTCCCCCCTCCCTGTTGTGGTGGGGGGTGACTTTAACCTCATCCGCTCACCGGATGAGAAGAACAATGACCGGGTTAATCGCCCCCGGATGCAGATGTTTAACGATTGCATCGCGGAGCTTGGCCTGCGTGAGCTCGAGCGCACGGGGGCCCGGTTCACCTGGACTAACCGCCAGGCGAACTCGACGCAGTCTGTCCTAGACCACGTCTTAGTTTCCCCGGGTTGGGAGCTCAGATGCCCCCTGGCCTCGGTTCAGGCTATTACCAGGATCGGCTCCGATCATGTCCCTCTTCTCCTCTCCTCTGCTGATGAACGCCCCCCCCATCCCCCCTCGCCTCCGGTTTGAGCTCTTCTGGCTCAACCAGGACGGGTTCCGCGAGGCTGTTGCGGCTAAGTGGACTGCCGCGCGCAATTTCCCTCACTGTGCCATGTCCATGGTGGACTCCTGGCAGTTCTGCACCAAGCTAGCCCGCCTATTTATGAAGGGATGGGGCGCGAACCTCGGCCATGATATCCGGGACCGCAAGAAGGCCCTCCTGAGCGCCATCTAGGCCTTGGACGCCCGTGCTGACTCGTCTGGGATCTCCCCGGATGAGTGGATGTTGAGATATGATCTCGAGGACCTGCTCTCGGTCATCTACGCTGATGAGGAGTCCTACTGGCGGTTGCGCGGCACCCAACAGTGGGTGCTTCAGGGCGACACCAACACGGCCTACTTCCAGGCGATTGCCAACGGCCGGCGTCGTCGCAACTCCATTCACTCCCTGTGGGATGGTGATACTCAGCTTGTTCGACCCTCGGACATCCGTGCCCAAGTAGACGGCTTCTATAAAGCCCTTTTCACACCCACCCCTCGGGGTGGGGCTGCACTGGCCCCCGATACCTGGTTAGGTGCCCAGCTTGTCTCCGCCGAGGCCAACGCCGCTTTGGTGGCGCCTTTCTCAGAGGAGGAGGTCCTTGCGGCGATCAACAGAATGAACCCATCCTCGGCTCCGGGCCCGAATGGATTGCCAGTCTTGTTTTTTAAAACATTCTGGCAAACCATCAAACCGGAGGTCATGGCCCTCTTCGACGAGTTCTTCTCTGGGACCATGGACCTTGGGCGCCTGAACTATGGCATCATTACCCTCATCCCAAAGGTTCCGGGGGCCTCGGACATCCGCCAGTTCCGCCCAATCACCGTGATTAACGTGATCTTCAGGATCCTGGCCAAAGGGTACGCCAATAGGGTGACCCTTCTTGTGGACTCTGTCACCCACCCCAACCAATCCGCCTTCATCAAAGGCCGGTTTATTTTGGATGGGGTGTTGGTCTTTCACGAAGTCCTCCATGAAGTCCGATCCAAGCACCACCGCGTTGTGTTCCTTAAACTCGACTTTCATAAGGCCTACGACACGGTCCACCGGCCCTTCCTTCGGGAAGTATTGCTTCGGAAGGGCTTCGACGACCGCTGGGTGACCCGCGTTATGCAACTTGTCACCTGCGGTCGGACGGCGGTCAACATTAACGGCGAGATCGGTTCCTACTTCCCACCTTATGTGGGGTGCACCAGGGTGACCCGTTCTCCCCGTTCCTTTTCAACATGGTTGTCGATGCCCTTGCGGTCATCCTTGATAAGGCCAAAGCCTACGGCCATATCTGGGGCGTTGTCCCCCACCTAGTGGACGGAGGATGGGTTTCCCTCCTCCAATACGCGGACGACACCATAGTCATGGTGGAGGGCTCCGCGTCCGACATCGCCAACCTGAAGTTCCTCCTCCTATGCTTCCAACAGATGTTAGGACTCATCATCAACTTCGACAAGAGCGAAGTGATGGTCCTCGGCTACCCCCCGGACAATGCTTTGTCCATTGCAGACCGGCTGAACTGCCGCCTGGGCTCCTTCCCCACGACTTACTTGGGGTGCCCATTAGTGACTCCAGACTCATCGTCGCGGATCTCCGCCCGACAGTGACTAGGATGCAGCACAGGGTTGAACCCTGGAGGGGACGATGGCTGTCAAAGCTGCCAGGGTGATCCTAATCAACTCCTCGCTTGCCAGCCTTCTCTGGTTTCTCATGAGCTTCTACAGCCTTCATGAGACCCTCCATCAGGAGGTGGCCAAATATCAGGAGGCAAGCTGCACTCCTAGCCCCCGCGATGCCCGCCACCGCGCCGTCGCGCCCTGTCGCCACCGCACACTTTAGACAGCCGCGCTGGCCGTCCCTGCGCGTGAAGGGTGTAGGGGAAGGGAGCTCGCCCGGCGGCACTAGGGTTTTTCCCTCCCGATCGCCGCGTGAGAGCGACAGGGGAGGGGAGGGAGAGGGGCGCGGGAGCGATGCGGGAGGGAAGGGAGGAGGGGCCAACTGATCACTGGGGACGTTTTTCCCCTTTGCCTCTCTTGCAACATGTATGAAGCTCCACCATTCAAACTTAGTCTCATCATGCTCTCCTGTTCCACACTCTTCATGTCAATGTCCCAACAGACCACGAGCATTACAAAAAGGTTGGCAGTTTTTCAAACTTAACTAGGTATTTCTTAGTTTCTCCACCCTTTTTTATACTAACTGCTTGTGTTAACTTCTTATTCACATCAAGCTTCACTCAAACCCGGATGAACTCACCGATGAATCTGTTTGGTAGTGTTACATGCACCTCTTGCACTTCACTAATTTGTCTCGCTACTCGCTAGGTTCTATAAGGAATTCTTACTCTTTAGAACCCCGTCTGGTAATTTATGAATTTGGCACCAAGTTTTCAGCCTATCTAGCTGGACCTTTTCTAGAATTGAAAACCCATCGTACTTAGCCAAAAACAGTGCTGCAACACAGAAATCCCAAGGCACAACGCCTTGTTCAGGTCAATAATTAAATTCAATTGAAAAGAATTTTGCATTGATCCTTCTCTACACTACTGCTTGGGTTGGATTCCATGCCGCTCTCATGTTCGCTATTAGTGCACTCCGACTGAAAATCTTGGTTTTCAGAAGACGACCCAGGGGTAGCCACTTGAGCTTGATATCCGCGACATCAAACTCATCTTCCCAGACAAAGTCGTCGGCCTCATCATCCTGCAGATTTAATCTCTCCAAAAGCTTACCATCACCCTCCATCCTCTGATCCCCACATCCATTGCCTTCTCCTGTTGTTGTCGTCATTAGAGCATAATCCGAAACCCTAGTCCGCACGTGTTTAATTCATCCATACCAAGGCCGGGCGGGCAAAACAAATCCCCCCCCCCCCCTGTCCGCATGTGTTTACTTCACCCAACAAGTTGTGAGTTTAATTTTGAAGCCGAGCCATGAATGCTGAACTTACAACTTAGCCAAAATTTATACTTCTTTAGACGCGGGTCGCCATGTGTGGCTGGGATTGCCCATGACCTTTTATGATTTCTATAATAAACCTTACAAATTTGGTTTACTGCTAAAAAAATGATTCACAATCGATCATGTGCGCTAGAAAGAGAAGCAAAATAGATGGAGAGCACAGAGCGCAGCCGGCAGCCCGACACCGGCAATCGCTCTTTGCACCTGCTGCGTCGAACCACTGTCGTCGGCTACCTACTGTGCCTGCGGTTGAATATAAGAGGTCGAGGTAGGACTACTTCATAATTGGGCGAACACCGTTTAAGACAGAGAGTGCATTAGGTCAAGTGGACGCAACCTTATATTCTTGGCCGGCTGAGGAGGACCACAGCGCAAGCTGGCGCTGAAATTTTCTAGCCACAACGATGGGTCAGGACGAAAGTTTGATCGGGCTGAGAAGAGCCACAGCGCAGGCTGGCGCTGAAATTTCCGGACGACGGACGAACGAAAATCTGGATTAACTGTGTCGCGAACAGACAAAAATTACGGTTGTAAGAAACATTTCTTCTTTCATTAGTATTAGTTATTATAGATATTGATATAGATATAGATATAGATATAGATATAAATAGATAGGTATAGACATAGATATAGATATAATGTTCTCTGTACTGTCATGACCGATGAATGGATTAAAAATTTTGCTCATAAAAAAATATTTGTATGGCCTAAAGAAAAGAACTATGCACGCGATTCGCAATCGATCATGTGCACTAAAAAGAAAAAAAAAAGAATCGATGGAGAGCACAGAGCACAGCCGGCAGCCCGTCACCGGCAATCGCGCTCTTTCCACCTGCTGCGCCGAACCACCGTCGTCGGCTACTATACTAGTCAGTCATACCGCACGCGCGCGCGCGCGGTAGCCAGAGCCCAGTCCACGTCTTCCTTCCTGTTCCGCAGTTCCGGTGGTTCGCATCGCAACTACTCGGAAGACGCGAAACCTCTGCCGGGCCGAACCGAGCGTCGGTCGGTTGGCTCCGCCGCACGCACACTCCAGGCCTAACTCCAACTAATCACGTGAAAAATCTACCAACAGTCAACGCGCTTACTGCTGCTTAGCCCTGACAGCGTGGACCTGTGCGTGCCAAACCGAAAGCGACTCGTCGTCAAGCCATCCCTTATAACACAGCGGCCTCCCCTAATTTTCAGCGACCTACCTACCCGCGCGCCCAAGCCGCGAGCGAGACACCCAACCACCTCCGCCGGCGCCGGCCACGGTCGCCAATGGAGCACTACGAGAGGCTCGAGAAGATCGGCGAGGGCGCCTCGGGCGTCGTCTACAAGGCCCGGGACCGCCGCACCGGCGCCACCGTCGCCGTCAAGCGCCTTCGCGGCGGCGGCCTCGGCGACCACGACGGCAGCCGGCTCTCCGAGGACCTCCTCCGCGAGGCGGCGTGCCTCGAGGCCTGCCGCGGCCACCCGTCCGTCGTCGAGCTGCGGGCCGCGCACCGCGACGGCGCAGGCGGCGCGTTCCTCGTGATGGAGTACGTCGGGCCGAGCGTCGCGCAGGTCATGCGGGAGCGCGGCCGGCCGTTTCCGGAGGCCGACGCGCGCCGGCTCATGCGGCAGCTCCTGGACGGCGCCCGGGCGATGCACGACCTCGGGGTGCTGCACCGCGACCTCAAGCCGGACAACGTCCTCGTCGACGCCCACGGCGACCTCAAGATCTGCGACTTCGGGATGTCCCGCTTCGCGGCCGGCGGTGCCGACACGGCGCCCTACACGTCGCCCGTGGTGACGCTGTGGTACCGCGCGCCGGAGCTCCTCCTTGGGTCCACGGAGTACGACGCGCGGGTGGACACGTGGGCGCTCGGGTGCATCATGGCCGAGCTGCTCGCCGGCGCGCCGCTGCTGCCGGGGAGGTCGGAGATGGACCAGCTGAACAGAGTGTTCGACACGGTCGGGACGGACGACATGACGGACTGGCCCGGGTTCTGCCGGCTCCCGCGCGCCGGCTCGCCGCTCTGCCAGCGCAGCAGGCCGCCCAGCCGGCTCAGGGAGATGTTCCCGTCACTGTCCGCCGCGGGCTTCGACGTCCTCAGCGGGCTGCTGGCCTGCAGGCCGGACAGGAGGCTCACCGCCGCGGAGGCGCTCCGGCGGCCCTGGTTCACGGACGCCGAGTCGCCCGACGCCGACCAGCCTCGCAGCGCATGCGGCGGGCGCTTCACGGAACGCGTCGGTGGCGTTGCTGACGCGATCGTGGTATAGAAAGCTCTAGATTCGCCATGATTCAACATTCTTTTAATCGGCTCAAGATTCGCTGGAGTGGCAGGCAGAGTGTACAGTTTTGGTGGCGGCTTGGTGGCTCCTGTCCTCTGCGTTGTTGCACTGTCGTCGTCAGTTCCGTTAAGGTCGGTGGGATAGCTGGTGAAGTGGCACGGGTTCCTCGAGGGTCCTGCTGATTAGTTCATCATATTTTTCCTCCTCTTGTTTATGTTCTCCTTGCAAGCAATCGCAGCGAGCATCTTGTGATACTATAAACAAAGCAATACAATAGTGGCAAAGCTCCCATGGACGAATCGCCATTAATTAGCCTTCGTGTACCTCACGTCCGTAAAAAACTGTCCTGGTTGCTTCAAATCTGTCCGAATTTCAGAAGCTGCAAGGGTACACAGTACACACTGAGAGCACACCCAGACTGGTAGCTACACCCAAACACCACGCGCGCGCACAGATGGTACTCGCCGACAAGAATGAATTATCGGAAACCTAGTAGGCCAGAGCGTCAGGCTCAGAGTCTCAGCGATGGTCCTGCCTGTGCTGTCCAGAGACGTCGGCCGTCGGTGTGGCCATCGGGACACCGCCCACGTCTCCCGTTCCGTCCCGGCTCAAGTTGGTCCCAGTGCTGAAAAATGAAGCAGTACTAGACGCCAAACCCGCCATGTGTGGCGACCGTGCCTCACGTGTGATCCCAGCGAGCCAACGTGGAAACCGCGCGCGACTTCCACGAGCACGCCGCCTCGTGGCCTCGTCGACGGCGTCGGCCCAAATCTGTTTTGACCTTGTTTGCAAGTTAAGCACAATCTGACCCGCGTTTGCAAAAATTTCATCATTTGACATTTTTCCTATCGCAGGATCGATGACAGTAGGGTATAATTGCCTATCGGTGCTCTGGAGGTAGGATATTTATCCACGTCAGCGCAGCTAACGGCCCAATCGCCTTGCCGTCAATCCTATCACCGAGGCCCTCGGCGGTAGCCAGTTATGGTGATAGGGTTTGGACAGTTCTTCACCGCTCTTGTCGATCGAGATGACTCTATGATGAGAGAAGTAAGCTCTTTTGATTCCTCCAATTAGTTTTTAGTCAAATAGCCTTTAGTTTTGACGCATTTTATGACACTAGGTGAACCCTAGTTCATCTTTTAGTTTGAACTTTTTTGTAACTAAATTTATTTAGAATGGATGTGTGTATCAATGGATGGACATATGGATGCCTGGATGACTGGGTGGATACATGGATATATGTTGGATGTGTGCATGAATGAATGGGTATAGGTGAACCCTCATCTTGTAGTATTGATGTGATTGGTATTGATATATTTAGAATGGATATACATATGCACATTTGGTATTGCTATATTTACAATGAATTCATATGTATTATGCATATATTTAGAAAGATAAATGTGTGGAGGCATATATTTAGAACGATGAATGAATGTAGACGAAATAATGCTAATGAATGAATGTAGATCAAAGTTGGACTAGATGTTTTCTTCAATTTGGACCATGTTTTTCAGTTTGCTGTCAAAAAATTAACTTGAATTGGCAATTGTTTTGGCAGGATCCTTGATCAAAACATCGACACTCGGTACACTATGCTTGACCCTGCCTTCTACAATTGTCATCGTGCACGCTATATCGAGAATGGAGTGGTAATAAGTGATGCTCATGATCAAATTCTTGCAAAAAAAATGGCGCACCGTCAACTTGTCAAGTTCCCCTGTGATGTGTTCGGTGGCGCCAGAATCTGTGTACCAATTCGTGTCAATCCAGTAGGAGTTGGTGATGAGGTTGGCCTTCTTCTTTTCTTCATGGTCCTCCTCATAGCGGTGCCAGCAAAGCCTTTTGTGCCGCTGGCGTGATACTTGTAGCATATTTGGCACTCAGGATAGTCTCCCTCATGTTGTTGTTGTTGTTGTTATTGTTGTTGTTTTTGTTGTTGTTGTTGTTGCTGCTGCTGCTATTGTGGTGGTTGTCGTTGGCGTTGCTGATAGCCGCCACCGCTGCGAGTAGGAGAGGGAGAGGCACGATCACCACGACCGCATCCTCTGTTCCCTCGCTCGTGACCTCCTCTAGCCCGGGACTACCCGCGCCCTCTATACACGACGTTTGTAGATGAGCGGAAACCGAAAGGTCCATCGCCCAACATCTCCATTCTCCGGTCGAACGTAGAAATCTGCGAGAAATGATCATCAGCGGTGATGGAGTTATTGATGGTGCCGACTGCTGCAACGACGGGATCGTAATCCCGATCGAGCCCGGCGAGGATGTAGTCAGCCATCTCGCCATCTCTCACTGGACAACCAGCCACTGCAAGCTCGTCTCCAAGACTCTTCATCTTGGCGATGAAGGAGTTGCTTGACATGTTGCCCTTCTTGGTGTTGGAGATGGCTATCCTCAGATTTGTTATCCGAGATTGAGAGTCCACAGCGAATAGTATGGTAAGAGCACCTACAACCATACCCCTCAAACACGTCTCAAAAAACCGGGCAGGCAGGCCGGTAACTGACCGATGACAAAAAAATGACACAACCGGAGCTCTCAAACCACGGACAAACGCCCAGGCTGACCGGCACCCCTCATATCCAGCCCAAATATAGGGCGGATATGAGGCGGCCCGGGCGCGTCTGCCATGTTGTTGGGCCTCCAAGCGCAGAGTTTTGTAGGACAGTAGAAAATTTCCCTCAAGTGGATGACCTAAGGTTTATCAATCCGTGGGAGGCGTAGGATGAAGATGGTCTCTCTCAAACAACCCTGCAACCAAATAACAAAGAGTCTCTTGTGTCCCCAACACACCCAATACAATGGTAAATTGTATAGGTGCATTAGTTCGGCGAAGAGATGGTGATACAAGTGCAATATGGATGGTAGATATAGGTTTTTGTAATCTAAAAATATAAAAACAGCAAGGTAGCAAGTAACAAAAGTGAGCGAAAATGGTATTGCAATGCTTGGAAACAAGGCCTAGGGTTCATACTTTCACTAGTGCAAGTTCTCTCAACAATGATAACATAATTAGATCATATAACAATCCCTCAACATGCGACAAAGAATCACTCCAAAGTCACTAATAGCGGAAAACAAACAAAGAGATTATTGTAGGGTACGAAACCACCTCAAAGTTATTCTTTCTGATCGATCTATTGGGTTATTCCTATAAGTGCCACAAACAGGCCTAGAGTTTGTACTGAAATAACACCTTAAGATACACATCAACCAAAACCCTAATGTTACCTAGGCACTCCATTATCACCAGGAGTACTCGCGAGTTTGATTATACGATATGCATCACACAATCTCAGATTCATCTATTCAAACCAACGCAAAGAACTTCAAAGAGTGCCCCAAAGATTCTATCGGAGAGTCAAGACGAAAACGTGTGCCAACCCCTATGCATAAGTTCACAAGGTCACGGAACCCGCAAGTTGATCACCAAAAAATACATCAAGTGGTTCACGTGAATATCCCATTGTCACCACAGATATTCATATGCAAGACATACATCAAGTGTTCTCAAATCCTTAGAGACTGAATTCGATAAGATAACTTCAAAGGGAAAACTCAATTCATCACAAGAAGGTAGAGGGGGAGAAACACCATATGATCCAACTATAATAGCAAAGCTCGTGGTACATCAAGATTGTGCCAAATCAAGAACACGAGAGAGAGAGAGAGAGAGAGAGAGAGAGGGATCAAACACATAGCTACTGGTACATACCCTCATCCCCGAGGGTGAACTACTCCCTCCTTGTCATGGAGACCGCCGAGATGATGAAGATGGCCACCGGTGATAGTTTTCCCCTCCGGCAGGGTGCCGGAACAGGGACCCGATTGGTTTTTGGTGGCTACAGCGGCCTTCAGCGGCGGAACTCCCGATCTAGGTTTATTTCTAGGGGTTTCTATATTTATAGGATTTTTTGGCGTCAAAAGTCAGGGGGGTCCATGAGGATCCCATAAGACCGGAGGGCACGACCTCGGGGTGGGGGTGGGGGGGGGGGCGCCCTCCACCCTTGTGGAGGCCTCATGGGTCTTCTGGTCCAACTCTTTTGCTTCAAGGGCTTCTTCTGGTCCATAAAAAATCACCGTAAATTTTCAGGTCATTTGGACTCCGTTTGGTATTCCTTTTCTGTAAAACTCAAAACAAGGAAAAAACATAAACTCGCACTCGGCTCTAGGTTAATAGGTTAGTCCCAAAAATAATATAAAATAGCATATAAATGCATATAAAACATCCAAGATGGATAATATAATAGCATGGAATAATCAAAAATTATAGATACGTTGGAGACATATCAAGCATCCCCAAGCTTAATTCCTGCTCGTCCCCAAGTAGGTAAATGATAAAAATAGAATTTTTGATGTGGAATGCTACCTAACATATTTATCAATGTAATCTTCTCTATTGTGGCAAGAATATTCAGATCCATAAGATTCAAAATAAAAGTTTAATATTGACATAAAAACAATAATACTGCAAGCATACTAATAAAGCAATTATGTCTTCTCAAAATAACATGGCCAAAGAAAGTTATCCCTACAAAATCATATAGTCTGGCTATGCTCCATCTTCATCACACGAAGTATTAAATCATGCACAACCCCGATGACAAGCCAAGCAATTGTTTCATACTTTTGATATGTTCAAACCTTTTCAACTTTCACGCAATACATGAGCGTGAGCTATGGACATAACACTATAGGTGGAGTGGAATATGGTGGTTGTGGAGAAGACAAAAAGAAGGACATAGTCTCACATCAACTAGGCGTATCAACGGGCTATGGAGATGCCCATCAATAGATATCAATGTGAGTGAGTAGGGATTGTCATGCAATGGATGCACTAGAGCTATAAGTTTATGAAAGCTCAAAAGAAAACTAAGGCCCAGTTCTTTTCAGGCAAGATTCTACAGAATCAGGATTCTGAAAAATTCTCCCGAATCAGCTTCTTCCAGAATCTGTCGTCGAGTTCTTTTCAGAGATTGTAG